GTGGAGGAAGTTGGGTGGGTGGGGTGGAGGTTGAAGGAAGTGAGGGGTGGGAAGGGGAAGGGGGAAGGAATGGCGGCACAAAGGGCTTTGACACCTCCTGATCTCCTTAAACCACCAGTACATGCCCTACATTGGCCACGGGCCCCTTTCGGAGGCCGCCCGCCATCAACCTATTTTATCAACGGCGCACGAGCCTCCGAAATTTTTAGGAGAGGCTCAATCGGATTCTCATCAACTTGCCTGGGGCCATGTACTGGTGCTTTAAGCTGTTACAACTTACAACCTATTGGTTTGTGGGAACAATAGCAATAATGCGACAAATTTAATTTAATACTTAAACTTGTTAGGTTGTGACAAAATGTCAGGAAGACGATTGCAAAGTGATTCAAGCTTAGCTGACGCCTAAGAGGTGGCCCTACCTTTTTTCTTCTTTTTTTTTCAATAACAGGGGGCTCCAGTCTATTGGTGGGGAGCAACACCTGCTGGAAAGTGGGTCCAGCGTCCCTTGAGATACATCGTTGATTTTAGCACCACCTCTCACCTCTCCATAAGAGGTGGCCCTACCTACACATACCAATCAGTAATTCATGCGTTCAAAACTTCAGATGCAGTTGGCCTGCAACAATGCCACATGTTGTCCACCCTTTTTTTGTTGTCGTTGTCACGCAACACACACACACACACCTTCTATTCTGGGCGGCACCAGCCCGGTTGCTTACCACCGGCATTCTTAAAAAGAACATGAATATTATGGACAAAAAAAGGTGGGAGACACATAAGTTAAACAGATGCTACGAAGTTCGAGGAAAGTAGCCAGTGAGTGTGATCCAGTAACACCAAGGGGTTAAAACCTAAAAACTTAAAAAATATTTTTAGATGGAAGAATTCAAGGTGAAGGACCTCTGAAGGAACATGCCAAGAAACCAAAAAGCTGCATGGCTTAAGAGTTTTAAGAAAAGTGAAGAGTGCAGAAAGTGGAAAGAGTTGAAAAGGAAAACCAAAGGGAAGATTTCAGTTGCAATGCCTTCTTTGGCCTTTCGGCTAAGATCAAGTGTTATATATGTTCTGATCATTTTAATATCTGAATGATCTGTGGTTCATCGGGCCATATTTAAAAAAAAAAAAAAAAAAAAAAAAAAAAAGATTCCAGTTGGTGCTGCAAAGCAGAAGCGTGAAGTAATATAAGAGCAAAGCTCATTGAGGGAAGTGTCATTCGAGGAGTAGACCACATACCGTACATGCAGCTGCGAGCACCACACAATGGATGGATAAACGAGAGGCTGAAGAGACAGATGAGCGGATGCAAAATTCCAAAGCCAGATAAAACACACCCAGATTTCTTCCATTGATTCATTTCAAATGATAAAGATTTGTCGCATATAGACCTTCTGAAGAGATCTTGTCCGATTGTACCTGCTAAGTGACCCAGAGGTACCACAGGTCCCACAGGTACCACATGTTCACAGCTAATTGTGATCGACAACTTTGGGTTCAAAGTTCAAACCCTGTTGGATGTATTAGTGTCAGGGGCATCCGTCAAAATTGGAACCAGGACATCCGTCAAAATTGAAAATGAAGTAGAAGACGAGTTTGTCCACCGGGACATCCGTCAAAATTGGAACGATACAGAGGCTGAAGATTACCATGGCCCTTGCGCAAGGATGACACGCATAAATCGAGAAATGGTACAAAACTCTTCAAATTTTAAATTTAATATTTATTTAAAAAAGAAGAATGGTCCCTGCGCAAGGATGACAAGCATAAATCAAGAAATGGTCCAAAATTCTCCATTCTTTTTTTTTTTAATGAAAGAATTGCCCCTGCGCAAGGATGACATGCATCAAACAAAAAAGAGATGGTCCAAAATTCTCCAACTTCATTATTTTTCAAAAAAGAAGATGAGTTTGCTCATCCTCAAAAAAGAAGACACAGACACACACACACACACACACACACACACACACACACACACACACACACACACACACACACACACAGAGAGAGATGTCCTAGTTTGTAGGTTTGCAGAATCAGAAAATTATCAAATTTGTTACTTCACATACTTGTACTAATTTTGTAGTCCTTTTTTTGTTTTTGTTTTTGGCCATTCTTACGCATATTTGTCAGCTTTTTTTTGGCAGTCCGTCAGTTCCTGCAATCTTATGCCTTTCAGTCCTGTCATTTTTCTAGCTAGGCAGGCAGTGGATTCTGCGTCCTTCGGCTCTTTTCCGGAACAGAGACCCTACCTTCCATTGGTTCGCCACATGTGCCATAGTGAGCACCATCTCTGCTGCCTGGCTGTGCTTCAACAAAGAGAATTGGCGTCTTCTGTTTGTCGAAACGCGAAGGTTCATGTTGAGTGGTGGATATCTGTGTTTTGGAGTCTGAATGACTGCCTGTGTGCTCCATCGTGAACGTGTCGATTGCTGACGGTTATTATCGATCATACTTAGCAACGCTGTTCTATTTTCCTGCAACCACAGATGACCATGCCACATGTCACATGTCACATGTCACACACAAGCCTTTTTTTTTCCCTTCTTTTTTTTTTCTTTTTTTCGGTCGCACAACTTCACACAAGATTCATGTTTGAATTCCAATGACGCATACACCTCATGCCATAATAATCTTCCTGCTTCCCTTTTCGTTCGCCGTCAGTGACAGTGCCAAAAGTGTGACGCCGGACATTGTTTCATTGAATGTCATCCAAACCATGGCAGCAGCAGAGACCGCCGGGGTCCAGTGGTCTGTATCTGTAATCTGCAATCTAGCCCACTGATTCGCCACACTGTCCAGGTCATCGAATTAATTCATGTGGGAAATTTTGATGCGCATAGTTTTCCAGCTTTCCTTCATCATAACATGTGTGATTAATAGCGAAAAATACCAAGACACCCTTTCAAGTACAGCCAAATGTCCTGGATAAATGCTGTGCTTCTGGAGTAAATTGTGCACCCACAAGTGGCATAAATGTTCTGGGACATATCCGCTTTTGGAGATCTTCTCTATTTTTCCATACAAGGTGTGGCATGGCCCAGAGCAGTAGTTCAGCGACCGGGTAGGACACAGACTCTGTTCTTCCGACAGGGGGCTCGGAAGTCAAGAGGTGATCCTGAATCTCATACATGAAGCTGATTGCTCAACATGTTACCCAGCGGCCAGTGACAATCACCCCAAAAGCCACTTCTTCTTCTTCTCCTTTTCTCCTCCTCCTCCTCCTCCTCCTCCTCCTCCTCCTCCT